AGCAGGTGGCATCTGAATCAAGACAGACTGTACGGTATTCAGACACAGAACAGTAAGTCACAAGCCGTGGTGAGGATATCGCTTGTGTACTTGATGTCGTGGTCTTTGCCCTTAGTTTTGTGGATGGTGGACCTCATCACCGGCAACTTGAAACACTGGAGGCAGGTAGCTATCCTCCCTCCTCTGTGTGGTACATTGGCTAATGTATACATCTATTCATTCAGGATGAAGGATTACAGGGAAGCTATCGCACGGTTACTGGCTAAGACGTGTTGCAGATCGCCCTGAACAAACACTCCGCTTTGGGCTGTACAGCATACAACGGAAAGGTTGGACATGTAGTTTGGTTTGGGTTTTTAAAAGGAAAACAAATACCAGCTTTGGGATCGTGTAGGTGACCAGGGTAGGTTTTAGTGAACTCCATTGATGAAAGTCTTTTTCATGCTGACATGCATCTCGTGATGTTGATATGATATTCAAAATTGTAAGTGAACAGTTAATTCATATCCTGTGTACTTTTATAACAAACTAAATGACAAAAATAAATGCAAAGTCTTTAGATATTTTGTGTTCAATTGACAAATTTATGAATCATTATCATGATTATCAGTTTTAATATGCTTTCATTTCCCAGACTAAAGTTCATATAAAATGGCACAACCTAAATTCTACAAATGAAAAGAACCGTAAAAGTATTTAATTGGAAATATCTTAAGGTGTGAATTTCTCATGTCTGCATGTATCGAGAGTGATTTGTGCTCCAAAAAACCCAGATCAGGAAGACGTCGTGGCGAATGTTATGCTCGATACTGCATACAGAAAAATATAATGGCCACCATCTTTCATACCAGTAGAACAAACCTGGTACACGTCCAGGACAATTTAATGGCACAACGTTACACAAATGAAATTCTTCGGCCACACGTCTTCTTCACATTATGCAACAGGCAAACGTCATTTTTCAACACTACAATACCCTTACGCGGGTGACAACTGACAACGGACTTTTTAAAGAACCACAACGCCCAAGTACTGTCATTGCCCTCAAGATCTAAACAACATCGAACATATATGTGATGCACATGATCAACGTCTGCGATCATGTCAGCAACAGACACAGAACCTCCAAATGTTTGTGTATGCAGCGCAGTAAGTGGTGGTGAATATTACCCGAGCTACAATTCGTAATCTGATTGGTTCCATGGTGTAACGATACCAGACAGTTCTGAACAATCATGGGGGCCATACAAGATATTGAAAACAGATGACCTTCACCTTGATATTGTTTCATGATGTGCCAAGATGAACTTCGGTCAGTGAGGTGAGTTGAAATTGGGTTTTACGTCGTGCTTGAGAATATTTCGCTCATATGACGACGTGCATGCGTGTGTATGTGTATGTGCGGCTGCTTGTACTAGCCCAGACTTAAGCTGGTTTTATAGTGATGGCCCACTGAGATACCATGCCGCAGTGAAGCATGAATACCCCACTCAGACACATTATACTGACTCCGAGCCGACCAGTCCTTGTTGTAACCATTAATGCCGAGCGCCAGGCAGGGACCAACAAGTACCATATTTTAACGTCTTTTGGAATGACGCGGTCGGGGATCGAACCCGCGACCTTCCGCTCTCCGGGCGGACGCTCTAACCACTACACCACGGAGGCGGTCACTTCGGTCAGTGACAAATACTTGCCAAATTTAAACAATCTATTATCTGTTTAATACATGAGAATCTATACAATACATAAAGTATATATCTGAAACCGTTTTTGCGTTTATACTTTTGCAGACTATATTATTTTGCAGTCTAGCTGAGTTGAAGTAACTGAATTTTACAGAATACTATGTTAAGTGAGTCGAAAGTAATGTCACATAAATCTTCCTGTTTACAGCAACTCGGTATTTAAACACGTCAGCGAGGCAGTAATTGCTTCCCATGTATGTGAAATGAATACTTCTTATGAAGGACCATGAAGAACAACCCTGTACAATGGCTTCCTGCGCTTTAAAAGGCTGGGTGACTTTTGTGAAGCAGCGGATGAATTTGGGATATCCTGATCATGCTGTTTGGTGATCAATTACAACCAGTCGTCATGTATAACAAAAGACCTTTCTCACAAAATGACAACTTCGACACTATGGATTAGAGCATTAATCTAGGGTCACTTATTTGTACCAGGAATCATACTGTGTGCACATTCCTTGGTTGCTATTAGAGAGCTTGTCACCTGTTGGACCATTCCTATGACATTAGGATATCCTCGTAAGCGAACGGAAAGTGTCATAAGGCCGCTGTTTATTTGCAACCGTGTTACTGAAAACTCCATGATATTTATGGACATGGGACTTACCGACATCATAATACAAATTGCATGCATTCTTGCTTTTCTATATTCTACACATTTCTGATATATCCAGTTGTTTAAGTGTAGTATGTTTAAATTACCTAAAATGCATGGCATATATCACAGAGTTAACTGCAACCATGACATTGAGGCAGCTCCCTGACACGATTTTATCATTACAACTGAGTAATAGGCCTAGACGACCTCGAAAATGTCAGCATTGTCACAAACCAGAATGAGTGTGAGTTTAGTTTTACGCCACACTCAGCAATATTCCAACTATATGGCTGTGGTCTGTCAGTAATCGAGTCTGGACCAGACAATCCAGAGATCAACAGCATGAACATCGATCTACACAATTGGGATACGATGACTTTTGTCAACCCAGTCAGCGAGCCTGACCACCCGATCCCGTTAGTCGCCTCTTACGACAAGCATGGGTTACTGAAGATCCCGGATCTTCACGGGTTGACATAAAAAAACAGAAGTCATGAGGCCGCTTTGACTGTAGCCGTGCAGGGCAATGGAATAGAAAGTGCTGTAGTTTGTTGAACAATTGTCTATAATTACATGGGCATGTGTTGTGCTGTTTTCGCGATTCTGATTGGCTGATTAAACCACATTTCACCTCACCTCATCCAAAGCTTCATGGGATATAAGGAATTGTACCACAAGGGGAAAGTGAGTGAGGTTAGTTGTAAGCCGCACTCAGCAATATTTCAGCTATATGGCAGCGGTCTGTAAATAATCGAGTCTGGACCAGACAATCCTGTGATCAACAGCATGAACATCGGTCTACGTAACTGAAATACGATGGCCACAAGAGGAAAACATTATTCTACTGAATCACTTTAATGCTGCAACCCCGACATCCTCATACAAATGCACATATGTTTTCATGCCAAAGAAACCCATCTCCGATAATGTTTAATACATGTGTAAGTCCATCAGCAAACACGTTTTCGGTTTTCATGAAGCAGCTGTCTCAAAAGTCCGGGTGTAGTATTTCCTATGCACCGTGAAGGCAACATCCATGCAAACGCTAAGCAATGTACGTTTTCAGCCTCGCCACATCGTTTGCATGACATAGAATATAGGCTGCTCTCAGGAATAACATCACATATTGCTCCTTAAACTGTATACACTACATAAGCGACATGCTTGGTGCACAAAACACATACACCATCGGTACACCTCCAGCCTTCGTAGGAGCACTTGCTATTGTCAGATTGCTAGTTCTTTCCTGGTTCCTCGTAATAACATCCACATTCCTGAATGAAATATTACTCAAAGCACTTCCCCCATTGCTAACTTCCTGAACTGTCAGTTTTCTGTCAACATCGCCAGCGATTAAACTTTGTGGACGCACTAGCCAGACGATGTTGAAGACGATATCAAGTCAATAGTGATGCAAATTGACACCATTGGATATTCTATGTAGAAGAATAGGCATTATCTGTGGATTCAGATGAAATTTGTACCCGAGTGTATGCGTCATTCACTTTTACCCAATCCATGTAAAGGAAGCCATAACGTCGTTGCTCCAATTGGTATTGACATCTAATCAAGTAAAGTACTGTCGGAAATAGAGCAAAAATGTTTTAGTCTGTTACTCTGTATCCCTAAAATTTACACAATTGCAATAGCACAAGTCGAAATAACCCACATTGGCCTAACGTTCAGTGGGCTTGGGCGTTCAGTGGGATACGTAATAGGATATCCAGAAAAGAAGGTTTACTCGTATAATCGGGCAAAACTTAGAGAAAATACGAATAGCTGCTGTAAACAATAGATCAGACTACAGATGGCAATTAGGTCGCCCAGCTAGGTATGACGAGGACCGTCGACTCACCTGACATGAAATGCACGTGCTGCCTACAAGCACGAGGGGTCATCTCAAAGATATTTTAATGGGTTTTTTTCATGTGTGATCATTATGTTTCATCTATTGATTAACATCTTACGTGTCTTTCTTTCATAAAGTTTATGTTGAGATATGTAAGAGAGTACGATACCCATAGAAAAGCTTAAATCCGCCATCGTATTAAATGTTTCAAAATGTATAGGTGGCATGAAAGGACTGGATACTATTTGTTAATTGTTATGGCATGCCGTTTGCTTCACCAGTTTACATTCCCCTAAAGGATTATCTGATCTCAGCTGATATATCTATCCCCCAGCCCGACCCCAACCACCGTCTTGGTTTTGCTTTTGAGACGACCCCTCCTACCTGTTTCTTGTAAAGTTATTATTTCAGGTCAGCTGTTGTTGATAATGAAGCTAAGTTTAATTTATAAATTGGCATTTAAAAACAGTCCTTTGTAACACAATATCATCGCATTCTAATTTGCATGAAGCCGTGGTCTGTTCCAAATAGGTCTCTTTGGACTTAAGTAAAGTCCTTTCTGTACGTTTCCTATCCCCCTACCACTGAGACTGTAGTAATGCCGAACTTAATTTAACAGATATTTCACACTTTCACATATTAGCTACATAAATTGTAGATCTAAATGTGAAAAAAAAACGGTTTTATTTCCGACAGTACTTAAGTATTCTATTCGAATGCAACTAACCACAATATGAAAACGAAAGAGTTTATTTTGCTTTAGCTTCAAAGTACCAAACAACCCTGGGAAAGAGGAATCCTGCATCTATGCTGCATCCTTCTCACATATGTAGTGGAAGGGATAAAGCGGTGACGTGTCCTCCCACTTGTATGCTGACTGGAACGTTGTAATGGATGCTTTACATTTCATAACATGCATACAGTTAGGCTCAAAGTCCGAACTCCAGTCAGTGAAGCCCACCTCAGTACCGTCAGCCCACATGTATTTTCCGTCTTCGTACAACATTCCCACCCAGAAATGTGCGGCGCGCTTCTCGTCAGGCGGGTAGTCTGAAATTACACATCACAGTCGTCAGTACAGGCATGCTTTTGTTAAACTCTCTCACCTTGGGTTAAAAACACTAAACTTGGCACACGTATACATCGACCCAAGTGGAACATTTCTGGACAGTCTGACTGGGAATTGCATTAGTAGTTGAACGTCAGATGATTTTCTGAGATAATTGGCCAAAGCGCATTACTGACCACCACGTCATTTTTCAAGAAAGGTAAAACTTATTAATATCTCGTGAATTCGCCTCTATTCTCGAGGCAGTCCCGGATTTGACGAGGAATACTTCTAAACGTCAATTCAATGTCAGCTTCATTCATTCCATCTCATTCTTCCCACAGGGTAGCGACAAGGTTGTTGAGCGTTTTCTGTGGCTGTTGATGGTGTACTGAGTCTTCTCTGAGTTCTGGTCATGCTGAGGTGTTTAAGTTCAATTGTTGGAGGTACTCATTTACGATACGAGCGCCGTGTGCACTTGCGTTGCCATCCTGAAACACAAACAGACATGTGGGCGAGCAAATGACACCACGTGTGCCTCCAGGACAGTGACACGTTCCTGAATGTAAAGGTGTCCTGCCACTCACAGCGATTCCACCCTACACCATTGATGAGCCTCCCCTTTACGGTCGTTCTTTCTAACGTTAACGACACAAGGTCAAACTGCTGTACCTGTTAAAGTAGCCAAAGCAAACCTTGATTCATTAGAAAACATAACGCTGGTGACACCAAAACCTTGTTTTAATGTGTAGGGACGGCAATCCTGTGGTAAGACGTGGACGTCGGACATGCAGGTCCTATCTGTGTAGAACATTATGAGTCATCTGTCCACTCACTCTAACACCTGAAGCTCTGTGAAGTTCATCTGTTTGTGCGAAATTCATAACTCATTGTAAATGGAATAATCATTTTTCGCAGTCATATACAAGCAAATAAATTGGTTCATGGGTCCAAAGAAGACGATGGACAGCTACAATCTGTCCTGCTCTCATGAGTTGTACGCACCTTCTTCTATCACACCATCTACACTTTTAGTATATGGAAACAGAACCAGTGAAAGAAAGCCCTTTGACTTTTAAAAGCTCATTCGACCCTAGTCCCACTGCTTCTCCCTCGTTCTTGAACTAGAACTGTTTTGCCTGATTCGAATTCGAAAAGCAGTATGTGTGTGTGTGTGTGTGTGTGTGTGTGTGTGTGTGTGTGTGTGTGTGTGTGTGTGTGTGTGTGTGTGCGTGCGTGTGTGTGTGTGTGTGTGTGTGTGTGTGTTTATGTAAGCTTCATTGTCATCATCAGGTATAAAACTGCAGTTACAACGTGAAACTTAGCTCTGTCCATCGTGACTACTCTATGTAGTTGTGATGTAAATGTCTGGACTTACTAGCTTGGGTCCAAATGTCACTTTGATTGCAACATATTTTTGACTGATGGACCTATCAAATGACAGGAAGTAGTAATTTAGTTACGCTAGATGATAGTAAGTATCCAGCTTATTATAGGGGGCAAAACCGGTATGATTGGTGCCCAAGTAATGCCGATATGACACGGTATTGTAATTGTTCGAAATGGAATGACAGACACGCTGTTCCTCTGCTACCTTTTAAATGTACAGAGGTTCACCGGTTGATATGTAAAATAAACAAACAGAAAACGCATGCTATACAAAGAACTAAAATGAAACTGTGCTGACAATCATTCCATCGATGTCAGTTAGATTTAAACAGATTAGTCGTTATCACTAACACTATCATTGTTTTTAAATGTGCTATACTGATAACTGTATGACAAATGCCATATTCAGGAAAAGCAATATGTATGTATGTATGTATGTATGTATGTATGTATGTATGTATGTATGTATGTATGTATGTATGTATGTATGTATGTATGTATGTGTATGTATGTATGTATGTATGTATGTATGTATGTATGTATGTATGTATGTATGTATGTATCAATGCCATGGATTTTCATGTCAGATCATTTCAACTGTGCATGTGTGGTTTTCAGATCCGATCACGTTTCCTTTACCCCTCGAATTTTGTGTCAGGAAGTTTGTTCCGGTGGATTTGTAGCTCATGAAACAAAATGACAATTAATTCCCTGCCATGACACCAGATCAGTCTCCTGAACTAGTCAATGCTATGTTGAAAGGAGATGGATTCCAGTTTGAATATACGTATATCATTCCTCCCCGATTATACTCTTTTCATTACAAGAATACTTACAACATGTCTTGTGATATTTTGGTTGATCTCATATAACAGACCTGTGTACTTGCAAAGCATTACCGAATAGATGTTACCTGAAACTCTGCATTTTTATAATCCTTATATTATGAGCCATAATCCTCATAGACCATACAAAAGAGTCAAATGTATGGGCCAACAACTAATAATTTATCTGATTTTGGACCAACCCAAGTGTGCCAAGTTCGGGATGTGTTTCACCTAGTGTGCACATTTTCCGCCTTAACCGTCTAACAAAAGCCGATCTCAATTTTTATATGTTCACATTTCTTTTATCAAGTTTCAAGTTTAACAGTAGTTCACATGGGACTGCCTTAAAGTTCCATAATTTTAAATTCTGGAATTTGGGTATCAGTGATAAGTGAGTAACGTTTAATTCAACATCAGTAAGTTCCATCAATCACTGACGATTCTTAGCCAGCGGTTTTGTACTAACCCATAATAAGTAAAGATCACAATCGGAATTGGGAGATTGGAATCCTGTATTAACAGGTCCTGACACCACAACAGACGGGTTTCACCTGACAGAAGGTGGACACCTTTTGACAAATGGACCAAATGTGAATCTCCTAAGTACCAAAATATGGAGTATGTCTGTTTAATCGAAAGCATAACTAAAGGTTTCGAACCTAGGTATTGAATGTTCTCCTCTTTCTCAAAATACACCAAAGGGAGGGTAGCGGTGTGTTGTAGTTGGCTGTGGCCGAGGAACAAAAACAAGATCATACTGTTCAAATTCGTAAGAACACATGATAACACAACAACCACTTCTACATCGAATATGACGTCTGTACTTACATTCCTTTATTTTCTCCATCAGAAAGTAATTCTCAGCTTCCGTATTGATAGAGACGAGGTCGGCACCTAGAATACGACATCTGTTTCTTGCAGGAATCCATTTGACGTCATCCAGCTCCAGTATGTAACAGTGGTCTTCAAATTTCACAAAGCCAGCAGCACACGAATCTACAAAATGACAACGTGAATGGAGAGGTTTGAAGACTCATTTTCCTTCACATTCACATCAGAACTGATTAACACAGCAGCAGACAATAGATAGAGAAGCTACAGTACCATATCAAAAGTTAATGACTGGAATATATGTATACACAGACATGTCCATGGTGAAATTAAATCACACAATGAACATAACTGATCATGCGCAGAGCTACACTTAAATTTCTTCAGACCATTGGCAGTCGCAATGGTGCATTTCAATTAAAAGTTGAAGTCATTAAAAATATACTAATACAGAACAAAACAGACTGTGCTATTCTTATACTATATATTAGGGAGATATCCAATTTACAATGTGTGTGTGCACAAAAGTCCTTTCGGCGAACCAACCATCTTATGAGCATTTCGGTTGAATATTGAACAAACAATGTATTCTTTACTTGGTTCTGCTGTAGTTGTCCTCACCGTCGTAGCAGTCATTGTCGTAGAAGTGGTTGTGTTTGGGACTGTGATGGGGATTGTGTTTGAAAGTGTGATGGGAGCGCATTGTGAGAGAACAGCCTCGAGTCTCTGAACTCTCTCATAAGACATAGCCACTTTCTCCTCTATCACCCGCTGACGTGCCCTCTCCACAGCAATCTCCTTCTTCAGAAGCTCCTGTTCCTTGAACTGATTCTTAAATTCCTCTTTTATTCCCTCCGTCAACTCTTTTATCACTTCCGACCGAACGCGTTTTGCTTCTCTTTTAACTTCAGAATACACGTATCTGTGTCGTTATGCTCTAGGGCATAAAGCTTCACTGTCATCATCACGTATAAAACAGCAGCTACAGCGTGAAGCTTAGCTCTCTCCATCGTGACTACTCTATGTAGTTGTGATGTTAATATCTGGACTTGAGTGACATCTCAAATGACAGGAAGTATTAAATTAGTTAAACTGAATAATAGCAGGTATCAAGCTTATTATCGCGTAAAATACAGGGTTTGATTGATGCTGGCTTAAAGCTGGTATGACTTCATATTGTGACTGTTTGAAATGGAATGACAGAAACATTGTTCCTCTGCTACCTTTTGAATGTATAGAGGTATACGTGTTGATATGGAAAATAACAAACAGAAATGCTTGATGTGCACAGAAGTACAATGACACTGTCCAGACGGTCGCTATTCAGACAGATTTGTAATTACTATCACTTTCGCTATTTTTAAGGTGCAATACTGATAAATGTTAGTCACGTTACAGTGCGAACACACAAGTTTCATAGTTTATTTTTATTTATTTTTTATTTGTTGGTGCATCGCGCGTGCGTGTGTGTGTGTGTGTATGTGTGTGTGTGTGTGTGTGTGTGTGTGTTATTAGTACTTCATAGAGGCTAGGATATTCATAGAGGCTAGGGAATTTGGCATGTCACTTACACTGACCAAAGCTCATTATGTCACACATGGAACAATCGAAGGTTCTGTAGCTGTTGCAGACGGGATCACAGTGCACTGTGTATGTGATCGATGGGGTTTAAATTTGAAGACCTTGAAGGCAATGGCAGTATTTGGATGTTGTGGTTCTTGAATAGGCTTTTGTCAGTCTTGCCGTGAGAGTTCGGGCGTTGTCATGTTGAAAATGACTTCGCGCTTATTACTAACTCAGTAATGTACGTTAAATTTCATGTATACTAAGCAGCAAAAGAAACGTCAGTTTGGAATTATCCTTCACAGAAACGGATAACTGTAAATTCATTTAATGTTTTGATTGTATATTTTTGACAACATCTCAAACTTTACCTTAGCAAAGACATTCCTTCCCAAACTCATAATGGAACCCAGGAAATGGTCTCAAAAACGCAACCTGATCTCGGAGATGGTACGGTGTTCTCCATGTTTTTCATGCAACTCATGCTGCACGTGCTGTTCACAAGGACCAGCCCTATAAAATGCACCTCCAAACCTGGTTGAAACATTCACATTACTACGTCAGCAGGATGCCGCGACTCACGACAGCCCACAGGAACCAGGCGCTAGGAAGACTTGAAGCTGGCCACACTGCACAAGTCAGGTCAAAGTTCGCACCATCCACAGGCTGCAGCAACGTTTCCGGGCCACCAACACCACAAATGATCGCCCTCATACTGGCAGACCAGGGGTGACGGCAACACGACAAGACCGCCATGTTGTGCGACAGTATGTACAGAATCCCTTCATGCAAGCATCCGAAACAGCACGCCAGACAGTGGGAACACACGGAAGACAAATCAGTACTGATACAGTACGCCAACGTCTTAACAGCGGGAACCTCCATTGCCGTAGACCTTACCGTGGACCTATCTTCACCCCTCGTCATTGGGGTGAACGTCTACAGTTTGCCCTACAACACCAAAACTGGCGATACAGGCAATGGAGAACTGTTCTGGTCACAGATGAGAGTCGGTACTGCGTATCAACTGCAAATGGCAGAACAAGAATATGGCGTCGACGTGGCCAGCGTTACTCAGACCAGTGTATCATGGAAAGAGACTCATTCATGGGGAGGTGCAAGCATCATGGTATGGGGTGGAATAGGCCTGAACCAGAGAGTGGTTCCTGTGGTGTTCCAGAACCTTGGTCCAGGGAGAGAAGGCGGCATCACAGCAGTGCGCTACATTGACCGAGCTCTCAGAACCCACGTCATACCACATTTCGCACGTCACCGGAACAACATTTTCCAGCATGACAACGCCCGAGCCCATACTGCCAGAGCTACACGGGACTTCCTACAGCAGAACGGTGTCAACATTATGCAGTGATTTAAACCCAATTGAACATCTTTGGGATGAAATTCAGACGAGACTGAATAATGTCATAGCAAGGCCGAACACAGCCGATTTATTGCGCCAGGCCTTTCTCAGAGTGTGGTTCCAGGTGCCAGTGGCCTTCATCAATCGACTGGTGCACTCCATGCATAGTCGCTGTGCTGCACTTGTTGTCGCTTGTGGTGGTCACACTAGATACTGAAGTCAAGAGTCTGAATGGACTGCAAACGTTCACGTAATGTCTTGGTATTGTGCTGAGTTATTTATTGATGTGTCAGGATATTGTACACAAAAAATGTTTTTGATCCGCTTATTATGTCCATTTCTGTAATGATTTGATTACAGTGCCTATCTAATTTTGAATTCGTACTGACGTTTGGGATACTTCAGTTTTGAAAAATTGTGTTGATTATCTTTCACATAACCACTTCTGAAAATGTTGTCTCTAAACATTTAAGTTCAATGAACCTCGCACAAATCAAATGATATGGTTTGAAATTACACGGATATAGTTTTGACGGAAATGATATGTTACCTTGAGGATCTCAGCTGGCACTCTGCTTTAATAATCATGGGCGGTGGGGTAGCCTAGTGGTTAAAGCGTTCGCTCGTCACGCCGAAGACCCAGATTCCCAACATGGGTAAAACGTGTGAAGCCCATTTCAGGTGTCACCCACCATGATATTGCTGGAATATTGCCAAAGGCGGTGTAAAACTAAACTCACTCACTCACTGTAATATTCATGACTGTCGTTACGTTTTTTGTCACCAGAATTGTTTCCACCCCTGTCAGAAAGCGGAAATTATAATCTTTAATACGTCTCTTTAATAGTAAGCACCCTATTGAAGTATCGCAATCACCGTAATGTACATTACTTAGCTACATTCCCGGAATTCGAAGCATTACTTTGAGTTGCAAAACAGTGGGTTATAAACGAAGATTACTTGACAACTCTTGTTGTATTCTATGTACCTAATACTTAACTCGGCATAGCTGTTTCACAACTCTAGGCAGTGAGTTCTCAAAACGTTGTGACCTCCCCTCGTATGTACCTAATACTCATCTCTGAAATAATGTTTTAGTTAATGAATGTATGTTAACTTTGTTTTTACAGCTTTTGCTATCGTCAAATGCGACCTTTTAGAATTGAGAATGAGTGTACTGTCAAATAGACTCCCAAGTTTAGTCCATGCATATTGGAGTGTGAGTGAGTGAGTGAGTTTTGTTTTACGCCGCTTTTAGCAATATTCCAGCAATATCACGGCGGGGGACACCAGAAATGAGCTTCACACATTGTACCCATGTGGGGATTCGAACCCGGGTCTTCGGCGTGACGAGCGAACGCTTTAACCACTAGGCTACCCCACCGCCCCCCATGCATATTGGAACAATTAAAGCAGTTGAATCAGTAGAACCTTCAACTTAACGCCATTATGCAAATGTTGTAAGACTCCGTTTAGATATGATTTTGTTCATTTCACTATTGGATGTGTTCTTGGAACTTTAAACGATTTCAAAGCGCTGTGAGTGAGTGAGTTTAGTTTTACGCCGCACTCAGCAATATTCCAGCAATATGGCAGCGATCTGTAAATAATCGAGTCTGGACCAGACAATCCAGGGATCAACAGTATGAACATCGGTCTACGCAAATTGGATAAGGTGACATGTGTCAGCGAGTCTGACCACCCGATCCCGTTAGTCGCCTCTTACAACAAGCATGGGTTGCTGCTGATCAATTCTAACCCGGACCTTCACGGGTATTCAAAGCGCTGTGTGAACCTCCGACCTTGTTGAACAAAATGACGGTATCCAGTCAAGAGTGATTCAAATTAACACCGTTGATTACTTGCATGTGAGTGAGTTAAAATATATCGTCACATCGGCAATATTTCAGACATATCGTGACGATAACAAATTTGATATTTATAAAGAATATGCATGTATATTATATCATCCTGTCGGCAAAGGAGAGTATCACAACTAAAATATCACAGTTAGAATTTAAACTAGCATGTAACATTGAAATATTAACACTATTTAAACAATACACAATATAAAAACAGGCTATAGATTGCCAGCCACTGAAGGTAGATCACCATACGAGTGTCTATGAAGGCTTACAGTACTTTTACTACCTGCATGGATCACAGCTGAATGTACAAAAGCTTGGTAAACATAAATTGACTTAGAATGTTTTGGGACTTACGTACCCTCTCAGCAGGACAATAATCTTACAATACTGGATATTCTATGTAGACGAATAAGCATTATCTATGGATTCAGATGAAAGTTGTACGCGAGTGTGTGGGTCATTCACCTTTTACCCAATCCATGCAAAGGAAGCCATAACGTCGTTGCTACAATTGGTATCGACATCCAATAAAGTAGAAAGATCTTTCTACCCAAATGCAACTGGGGGCGGTGGGGTAGCCTAGTGGTTAAGGCGATCGCTCGTCAAGCCGAAAACCCGGGTTCGATTCCCCACATGGGCACAATGTGTTAAGTCCATTTCTGGTATCCCCCGCCGTGATATTGCTGGAATATTGCTAAAAGCGGCGTAAAACTAAACTCACTCACTCACCAAATGCAACTAACCACAATATGAAAAACGAAAGATGTTATTTGGCTTTGGCTTCAAAGTACCAAACAACCCTGGGAAAGAGGAATCCTGCATCTATGCTGCATCTTTCTCACATATGTAGTGGAAGCGATAAAGCAGTGACGCGTCCTCCCACTTGTATGCTGACTGGAACGTTGTAATGAATGCTTTACATTTCAAAGAATGCATACAGTTAGGCTCAAAGTCCGAACTCCAGTCAGTGAAGCCCACCTCGGTACCATCAGCCCACATGTATCTTCCGTCTTCATACAGCATCCCCGTTCAGAAATGTGCGGCGCTCTCCTCGTCAGGCGGGTAGTCTGAAATTACACATCATAGTCGTCAGTAAAGGCATGCTTTTGTTAAACTCTCTCACCTTGGGTCAAAAATACTAAACTTGGCACACGTATACATCGAACCAAGTCGAACATTTCTTGATATGATCCAGCTCACGAGCGACAGATGACCGCCAACTCAGCCAAGATCTCTTGTGATGTTAATATATACTTAATATATCATGCTATCTGGTCAAATTAAGGAATGCATTCAGGAGTAATCGCAACAGTAATCTATAATTCTAATCTAGTATATAACACCCTTTGGTGGAGACGGAAAGTCTAAGACGGCCGCCCAAAGTACATTTTTGCAGATATTTTCGGTTCTTTGTTCATGATATGGCTATTTGTTCCATTTATTTCCGCTCTGGATTAAAACAATAACAAGCATTATTTATTGAATGTTGGTACTAACATTATTAGCATTTTGAATAAGATTATTACTGTTTGTTATTTATAAAGTAATTAAACATCAGGAAAAGTAATTATGCTTGACAATGTTGACCGCTACGATGTTTTCTAATATATTTCAAAACCTATTTCTAATATATATATACATATGTGCTTGCGTGTTCAACAAAGGGGCATGCTCAAAGCGCGCACAAATGTTTAAAAACAAACACATCGAAAGTCACATGAATCAGTATTGTAGAAAATTGTCGTAAATATGAGCTTGGAGAGAGTTACTGTTTGTACCGACTGAAAAGGTGTGTT